CTACGGACCGTGGACGGTGTTCGGCAGAGATTTTTTAAGGGAGTTAGTTGGGAAAGTGGGTGCTCGTAATTGAAGAAGCCGTATTGTCTATGAGACTCTTTTAGTCCATTTTTACCACCCTTCAATGATTACCACGGAAAATGAAAACCCCAAAATGCTTTTGAATGAAAGGGTAAAGGTTATTTAGCTATTAAGCACTGTGTAATGATGTAAATGCTAGTTGCAACGAATAAAGACAAGGCAATCATTTGATATTAAGTTTGGGACATTAAAGACAAAAGGCTTTTCCTGAATACAGCAAATGTTTATTTTGTAGAAAATTCTGAAATGGTGAAAGTTTCCTAACTGTAAAAGTTTGAGAAAGGTCATTGAAAGGCGACAAAAATCGAACATAACATAATATACTATACTTAATATATAATATGATATAGTAATAACGCTGCTTTTATCACGACTCTTTTTTCCTTTTGATCAAACAGAGGAAAGACACCCGAATTTACTTAATCTTATTACCTTTATATAACTGTTCGTTCTAATAATACGGCACAACAGCTGACATAGAACCGCAACCCTGATGCAACGAAGCTTCAATGGAAATAAGCCAAATAGAATTGTCGGCTGCAGTAATTGGTTGTCGACTGGGTTAAAACGGTATTTTGGAAGAGTCTGATGAAAGTGTGCCAAACTGGTATTGACAAATTTTGTGATCTGTGCCATTTAGGCATCTCGATGTCAATTTTTTTTTTTTTTTTTTTGTATTGTTTTATTTCTTTATTTCCTGTTTGTTTATTTATCATTTCTGTTGTGCGAGAATTGACATAAATTTAACTAGATACATATCTCAAGAATTTCGTGCATTGCAAAGTACTGACGTTTCTGCTCCACCTAAAGTTAAAAGTCCAATTAAGTCTCACTCTTGTAAATTTGATTAAAAGAAGGAGAAAAATATCTATGTTGTCTTTGTAGAATTTCTGGAAAAGCTTCCTCGTCTGGTGCTACCTTGCATTAATGCGCAATCGATAGCACAATAAGTAAAAACACAAGCAAATTGATAAGGAGATCATGGGGAAACAAGATGCATGGGGACCCAATCTAAATCGACCGTTTTCCCACAATTTGGCTTTCCATTTCATCTAGATGCAGCCTTTGTATTGGGCTCTCCCTCATCCCGATATTACTCTATTAAGATTCAAAATGATGAACATTGATTTTAGCTGATGCTAGATTACATTTCTTTAGTTACTTCTTTACAGAGGGTTGCCAACAGTCTGATCAAAAGATCTGTCGTTGAATATACTCGGATTATCAATAGAAAACATTCATACGAGATTAAGCTGTTTTAACAAGGGACAGCGCACAAATAACGTGTACAACCTGAGGGCAAATATCATGGGGAACAGCGATGATCTGCTGAAAAACAGTATCGACCGGCACCCTCCATTTCAGTCTCTCTCCCGATTGTCTCACAAAGGAATTTACATCGAAATGGATTTTGTAGCTTCACAAAAAAGTCGTACAATGGTAGAATTTTCCCATACATTAGGCACCACTGACCTCACTGGGCGTAACTGAAATGGAAAAACGATTGGAAAGTATAGCCACCCAGCCCTGTATCCGGCCTCAACAAAGTATCCGCGATTGAAAACATAATGATAATGGAATATTGGAATAAGTTTGTTCTTTTCCTTCACCATGTGCATCTGGCCAGTTAACCTGCAAGCGCATTAGAATGAATTCACCGCATTTTGATTGGTATACAAAAGGCAAAGTTAGAATCAGAAGTCAAGGCTTTTAATACTGAATAATATTTGGGTCCCGCATCCATTACCTTGTAAACTAGCATGATGGGAATGATTTCTGTCTACCATTTAATATTTAAAATTCAGACACATACTAGCAACATTTGGAGGACCCCATGCAGAGGTAAATACCTGAACTTTGTCAAATCGGCAACATGAGACATTGATTCGACGAGCAGTTTGGTCTTTTTTCTTTCTTTACGTTTTTTTTTTCATTGATTGTCAACATTTTTTTCGAATTTTTATAGTTTTTTATTCTATTTTTATTCATTTTTCGTGTCAGATTTTACTGCAATAACGAATAAAGTGGAAGAAGTCTAGAAAAAAGCAAAACATAAATCAGAATAAAGTTGTTGCTATATGAATAACAGTTTTTCTTTTAAGCTTCAAACGCACTCGTAAAAAAAATAAATGATCATATGTTCACTCAAAAGAACTTCTCTTATGGCAAGAAATACTTTGAGTTACAAATATTTGACATTTTTAATGTCTTGTTTTGTACCAAATATATGGGATTTGCATGAAATCAGCTAACCCCATAGTGAGGAAAAGAATGTGTTCAACCCACCCATTGCACGTTAAGAAGCTTCTTTTCTAAACTTACCTCCTGTGTCGTTTCATGCAAGCGAGTTAGTCTTTAAAACATTTTATCAGTATTTCTTTAAATGGGGGGCAAAATGCAATATATACACTAAGGTGTTGAAGTATACCTAATGGTTATCTAACAACAGAAATATATCTGTACTGATGTTACAACCAAAATCTGTGGCATTCTGTCAGGAATAATATATAATCACCTTTTCTGCGTGGTTCTCGAAAACGCAACCTGCGGTATGAGGTGACCAAATGAGTGCATCGGCGCCTGCTTTAAACTGTTAACACAGCCATAGGTAGATCACAACACTCTTGATGTAAGTGAACAGGTAAGGGTCAAGACCAGTGGAGTAAACAAGTAACAACTCAAGGCTATGATATCTGAATATTATACGTGTTATTTGCTATTTGATACGTTACCCTGCTAATCCTGATCGTGATTTGCGCACTGAACTAATGCACTGAGCGCTAAGGTACATTTAAATTGACTGACTTGAAGACGTTCAACTTCCTGATTGGCATTAAAATTCATTACGTGTACAGATAAGGGCATGTTTGGGGATTAGGATATGCGTTTTACCGGAGCGGATAATTTATCGTGGCAATGGCACTACACTTCGAAAAGTCTTTGTGTAATTACATTACGAGTGGGTGACATAATCGAATTTGCGCAAGTAAGCTATGACTATCGAATGCTGCATCTCAAGTATTTGGATGTGCCACGTACAAAAGGGATTTTGTTTACAGTCTTCGCCGATCCTAGGAGCAACTATCCAGATCTGATCACTGTTAGAGCATGCGCTTGGAATCTAACAAGATTAAGGTAGATTCACCCACTGAAAGTACGTTTATCCCCCTGACTTTTACAAGTGTTTTTGTCAAAATTATTGGTGTAGATATTAAAATAAACATTCATATACGATTGTCTTGCATTAATGGGTTATATGAAAACAGATTTAAGCGCTACTCTCATTTGGTATTAGCAAGGATTCTAAATAAAGTACAAACCCCAGGAATTTCCATTACTTAACGACTGCCATCCGATCGTTTGATGCCGGATCGAATGTATATTGTACGTGGAAGTTAAGAAAGATGAAAAGCTAGTCTTACATGGTTTTCTAACGTCCTTAAATGCATGGTTATTTGTCAGACAAGTTGTCGTGTAGGCCTATTGCCTATTCTGATGATAAATTTGCATAAGTCATTCACATTTCTTTTTATAAAGTTAGAACTGCCATCCCTTACCCAACCAATAACCGATCTTTGCACTCTGCAGGTGTGAATTTTAGAGCCATTTTATTCCTTTAGGCCAAGAAAGAAAAAAGGGCTGTGCTCCTTATTTTGAAAATCATTAATGTCAAACAGCAATCGAATGCCCTCAATTGCACTTATCGAAGAATTGATGCAATTCGTTTTTTTTTCAGCACAGAAGCCGGCTTTTTGTATTTTGTTGACCCGCGAGAGTGTTGTAGAAATTATGTTTACCTAGCAGCCAGGACCCAGCTACACCCTATTTTGAAGGGCAAGGGTTATTAGATACAGAGATTTCTCGGTTCACTACTGCTGGATTAATGTATGCTTCAAGGTATGCCTCTCAAGAACACAGCGAAGGGAAAATCTTCACCTGAATGGAGTCTGAAGGATTTAGTATCAGTTTATATTAACAGTTTGGGGTTTTGCACGAAACTCAGCTGTTAGCCAGATTCGCTTGGTTAAGCCAATGAGATCTATCTCTTTGGTTTAGCCTACTGCATATGAGGCCCACGTAGTCTCTTCTAAAGGATGAAATCATTGAAATATCCATCTATTAATATCAACTGATTATCAATATTTACATAATCTTTTGAATGAAATAAAAAAAGAGAAAAAAAAGAAATGAAAAAATATAAATGACATCACCCTTCCCTGCCAGAGTAGTTTTCCGCAGCAAGTCAGGCATGTTTGGCTGTATGCATCTGTGTACATGGACTGCAGAACGTAGGTTCATGTAAAAAGTCCATTTTAAGTTTCAGTAGCATTCATTTAATTAAAAGCTCTACACTGATAACCCTCTTCATGCGTACATCTCCGAAAAGTAAACAACAACCATAAGTTACTTAGTATTTGCACATATAACACGGTCTTTAACTAACACTAGTCATACAAATGTAAGACTACAAGATCCAACAAAATTAATTTCAGCAGCTTTTTGAGTACTTATTATTGTTACAAATATCTTCAAACATAGATTACTCTACGGGGAATCTTAAACAACATTTCCCCCGACTTATGAACTTAGAAAGCCCATCATATAATGAATCTCATGTCTAAAAAGTCCCGAATCATTTTTACACATACATGTATGCCATCGAAGAAGAAGACACCACCAATTTACGCTAGCTTAAATAAATGGTGTTCTTGACAAAGATAAGAATTTGACTATTCTATGGTACACAGGCAGTGGGCCAAAGGTTACAAATATGACGAACAAGAACGAGATCAAGTTTAAGTTGTGTGATATCCTGAAAAATGTCCAGTCGAAAATAATGATGGAAAATAAATAAATAAATAAATAAATAACATCCAAACAAACAAACAAAAATACAAGCAAATAAACAAATAAATAAAAACAAATGATTAAATAAATACTTTACCAGATGCCACTTAAAATCCACAATCTTTTGAAAATGTTTCCCTTAGTAAAGCTGCAATTTTAAAAACGCAACGACTGATACCTTGTACTTATTATAAACGAATAACAACTCTTCATATGAGATTCAAAATTACACAATAAATGCATTGTAAACAACATAAAGAAATATAATAAATTCTATTGCACCACCAAAACTGCGGTTATCCAAATTATTCTGAAATTTGTGCTTGTCATCGGACCACATGGCTTTTCATAGATGACTCTTCTCTGTAATAATCTCTTAAGAGATTATTACAAAAATAAGAGATTATTACAAAAAAAAAACACTTTAAAAAACAATCGACTAACTTTAATTGTCGGAACGGACTCATTAACCATTGAGAATTTTGGGAAAAATCGTCTTTTACCCCAGGAAAATTCGGCACTTTCCCCGCTAAAATGAAGAGTTGTTATCCCTTTAACCGATATTTGATAGATCATTCTATTGATATACTTTTCAGTTAGGATTCCAGCGCTACAAAGAAGAATGATTTCTCTTTTATGAATTCCAAAGGAGTAACAAGAAGCAGATAGATGTTCAACGACGAAAAATAAAAATAACTACTTGACAGATTGCACACTGTCTTGTATAACAACTAAAGAATATTTCCAAAAACCCTTTTCTTAACTTTAAAGTAACGTATGTAAACACACAAAGGGGGTGGGGGGTAGCTGGACAGACAGACAGACAGACAGACAGACAGATAGACAGACAGACAAACAGACAGACATATATGATAGCCCCATCCAAGCTTATCGGTGTTAGAAAGAGCCAGGAACAGGGGCTAAAGCTAAAGGGACCAAATGTTGCATTGCAATGTTCAGAGTTTCGATTCTTCTGTTTGTTCTGTTGGATGTTCTTGTGTTCCGCCGTTGGTGTATTTCACCACTGACGGATGTCCTTTATCGTTTAATTTCACTACAGTGGCCGCTGAGGTTCCGCCCGCAAGTCTTGGGCTATGTTGTATCGATAATCTATGAACGGAATGAGCATGAGAGTGAAACCCTTCCGGGCTGCCGTATTGTTGTACATAGCTCTCAGAACGAACGCGTGTGTTGATATTTTTACACCTAAAACATAAAATCTCCTTGAAGGGCGTCCTGAATTCTTTGTTAAACCTGGCGTAAATGACTGGATTAAAGAAAGAGTTGGCGTATCCAAGCCAAGTGAGAAGTGATGTCACCCAATTGGGTATAAAACACGAATCTCCACAAAAAGGCCGAACGAGAGCTAATATAAAAAATGGAAGCCAACACAATGTAAAACCACCCATAATAACTCCCAGCGTCTTTGTCGCTTTGCTCTCTCTATGATGAGATTTTATTCTTCGGAATCGACAAGGACATTTCTTAAGAAATTTCCAAGGTCTATGTGACTTCGACTTCGACTGAACTTTGGCATTTATGTGATGCTGTATTTGTTTGTAAGTGTCCTCGTTGTTTTTCACCTTGAGCGTCAGGTCCCCATTGGGTGTCGTGGTTGGCCAGTTATGGTTTTCCTCATTCGATAACTTAGGTCTTAGTAAGGCCTCCTGTCCCAAAATTGAACTGGTGGCAGCGGAACGGTGGTCCGCTTCCGCAAGCCGTAGAGATACCATGTATATTTTAAAGTACACTATGATCATAACTGACAGCGGTAAGTAGAAGGCACCAAGAGTTGCATAGATCTGGTAAAATATGGACTGATTTATGATACACTGTCCATCTGTCCCGCGTTCGTTTGTTTTCCTGAAACCGAACAGAGGAACGATGCTGATGAGAGCGGAGGCGATCCAGACCATGCTGACCATGATGGCCATACGCTTTGGTGTCCTTTTCATGGCATACTGAAGTGGTCTAGTAATGGCAAAGTAGCGATCAACACTAATCATACATAGATTAAGTATGGAAGCCGTACACAGTAGTACATCTAGTGATGTCCACATATCACAAATTTGATGTCCTAACGTCCACCTTCCCTGGAGCTCATAAAGTGCCGATAACGGCATGACTAGAAGAGCTACCAAGAGGTCCGACACGGCAAGAGAAACAATGAGCAAATTTGACGGAGTCCGTAGTCGTCTGACCAGCCCCACGGCCATACAGACCAGTATGTTCCCTACCGCTGTCCCTATGATCAGGGCAGCAAAGCAAAGAGAGATAAGAACGGCTTGCCACACCGGGTAGTTCAGTAACGGGACTGGCATTGTGCTGTTCGTTGAGTTACTCTCAGTCGCAGTGTAGGAATAATTATGCCTTGTATCATTGTATGTTATGTATTGCAGCAATTCTCCTTCAACGTCAGTGGTGAGACTGATAATCGTTTCCACTTCATCATTGTACGGAGTTGAGTTATGGTAGAGCAAAGGAGTTCCATTCACCGGACCTAAGCCTTCTGGTGGCATCATTAAATAAAATCACGACGTTTCAGACGTCCATAACTCCTTGAGGTGACAACTTTCCACAGGCAATGTTGTCAGATCGATTGTCAAGCTCACGCGCAGACAACCCAGTTTATCGACCTGTGGGTGCAAGCAAGGGCGGGCTGGTTTTGCACGATTCTGTAGCCCTCTCTGCCCCTACCATGGATTTACGCTATCTGAAATGGAAAACACAGCATCAATATTGATTTGTTCACATGGTACAAACGACCAAATCAAATAGAACTAGTACCAGCATCTACCAAAACCGCAGTCCCACATATATAGTATACGTGTATGAAACATGCGTGTGGTGGGTTGAATTATACCAAGACCGATTACATCGCTACCTTGCCATTTATCTTTGCAACTGAGATTTATAGTTCACCGACGACTCCATCTCTCTCCTTTCCAACTGTCACATTATCAGTCATATCTAATTCGTCCACAATAATACCCAACATAACTTCTTATGTTACGGTTATGCTATAAGAAAAATCACCGTGCCAACCTTAAAACATGCGTAAAATATTGTTATAGTTTTTACGACATCTTGATAGTTTTTCATGCAGAGTAAAATAATGTATTACTTCCTTCACAGCTGACAAAACGTATTAAGCGAATTAATTTCACTATAAAACAAGTAGAAGTAAATGTGCACACTATGGCCGTGTAGTAAATCCCTTTTGTATTAAAATTACAGCACTTTTATCCCTGTTATATTCATGTTCACCTAATTAATCACGAAAACTATTTCTGTCGAATTATCCTAAAAATAAGTTTAAGAATTTCAATAAAGAGTGACCAAGGTGCAGACCCCTCTCCAATATGAGTGTGTTAATAACCATGCGACAACACACTGACACGTCACTGACCTCCTTGCAGCTGACTGCAGCCCGTAGCATGTATTATTCTGCTTGTTTTCTCTTATTTCAATCAATTTGTTTTCTTTAGCTTTCCTTACTAGCAGACTAAGTGCATTACACACAATTGATATTACACCAGTGCGTATGAAATTGAATTGCCGATCAGGCGTTTTAATAACGCCAACAACAAAAAGTTATATTGACTGAAAGGCTAGTAAATGAACTAATATTTCCGAATTTAAAGCAACTCAAATCTTCCAAACATTTATTTGAGCAAAATTCAAGAGTTACGAATATGTTGTTAGTCACATCGTACACTAAACCGAAGCCCTCTTCAATGAAATGTCTTATTTTTCAGTTCATATTATACTGGCAATGAGACAAAATTCGACGCTTGTTTTTCTAATGTTTGCAAAATAAACAAATATACTTTCTTCAAAAAAAATTCATGGCCGTTCCCCCTCTGTCAGACTGACTACAGTTACATTTTCTACCTTCCATTGGATACATAGCAGTAGGGATCTCTCATTACCCTATTTACATTACACTGTACCAACGAGCAGCACACAATACCGGTGGATTAGCCCTCTGGTCAGCGAGCTGAAATAAACTAATAATAATCGAGGAACAGTTCGGCTGGACAAACAGCCGACCAGCGACAACAATATCCACACAGCCATTCGCTTTCTTGCCTCACAATACTTCCTACCTGCTTATATTATAATGGTCAGTTTTTGCAGACCAAACAAACACAGTTTACCTTACATGCCTGTTTCTTTTTACATGTCATTTATGACTTCTCGAATTGGAAATGAAATTACCGCATCAAGGCAAAACTCAGAGGGAATAAGAAGAAGAAGAAGAGGAGGAAAAATGGGGAAAGGGCTTAGATATTTAAACTGGTACTTGTGAAGCCCTTTGCGTCTCCCATCAAGCCACACCTATCTGTAAATTAGGGAACAAGATAGTGCCCCCCCTTAACCCACCCTAATTCCTGTGATCACATTATCTTATAACGCTTTTATATGAAATTGCAAAATAAGCTTGTTATACTGGTTATATAAGGCTTTTTGACAGATTCAGTATACGGTTTGCGATTCCTTTTGCAATCATTCACCTGACTATCTATAGAAAAAGACCCGCAGGTCATGATATATTCTTCCTTAAGCTCATTTCATTGTAATATATCTCATGTTTAGTTGTTGTTACAATTTTCAGTTTGTGATGGTTTGAATAAAATGTTGAGTGCAGACAACACTGAGGATAGTAAATAGCACCAAGCAGTGTGAGAACACTTTGAAATAATACACCTGAACATTGTTCTTAGCGCAATGGCTTGAATTAATTCATTATCACAAATTAAGTAATGTTTTGCATTAATTCGCTGAAGTTATGAAATATTTCACATGGCTTTGTTAATTGAATGTTGAAAAAAACTCGTTGAAAATGAGAAATAATTGGTTGAGTGCTCCTTCCCCCCCCCCTTTTTTTTTTTTTTTGGGGGGGGGGTAGGGCATAGAGTTTAAATTCACCGGAGTCGCTTGTTTTTTCCCGCAGCTGATCCAGGTGTACTGGCATGACTATTTAATATCTCAAAATAAGATTGTGCCGTTTCCAAAACATTATTGGCGCACAAAAAGGTCGACTTTCTATTTTCTCATTTATCAGTCACGTGGAGGGAGCTTTGAGAAGTAATTTGTTCTTTTCATGTATCTTGCGTCGTAATAATTTTACCTTTAAGCTACAACATTGCTTTCGCCTGAACAAATTTAACCGGACTGTCCTAACGACCCGACAACGAGCCTGCATGTTAATCTAATATACTAACGAAAAAGCAAAACACATTGCCTTAACTTAATAAGTTTACAAGATATTCCGGACTACTTAGGTAGCTCCATCAAGCCCAATTTCGCCATGATTGAATCCTGGCAGCGGCTTTATATCTTACTTTGGTTTAATTATTCTGAACCAATGCAGGGAAAAATCTCGTCGGTTCAACAGGACAGACAGACCTGTCTATCGACGAATAATCCCACAATTGACTATCAAAGTGAACGAGGTACCATACAGTGATGGTAATCAATATGCCGACAGACGAATGCATGGGCAGGTGCATTATTAGCATCATAAGACTGTCACCTCCCGAATTTTGGCCGTAGCAAAAGTAGACCTTACATGTCATTTCTCCACACCACTATTATTACTATTTGCAAAAACTATGATGGTAACTATCATAAATCTGTGAGGCAGATATTCCGTCATTTTAAAATATGAAGACCGCACGTTGGAAAATGTCGCCCTACCTACATTGTACAGCTTAGTTAGTCAGTGTACAGATAAGATATTGTAATAAGTCTACAACCTACCCCTGCACGACCAGAACCTCTCCCGAACACCATAAGGAAGCCCTGTAGCGATATGCAGCAAGAGACTGACAGGAAAATGATCAGTAAATGCCAGAAATTGATGCATCTCCTTTTGAGATGATGAATATGTGAAGTTATTTGTACAAGTTCTGACTAAAGACAGGTGAGGTATGTTTTTAAAATGATCTTCCTCTCACAGGCTCACATTTCGGTGATGTATATGGGAAGTCTAGTTCCACCTCCCAAAAAAGTCACAACACTCTACGTTAAGCACAATACAGTGCAGTCGCATATCACTTTTGTCTATCATCCCCTAACTTAATCAATTAGCTAAAGTTTCGCATTTCCACGTTGCTTATATATTCGCAAGAGCTCTAGTCCAAGTTAAATAAAAATAATGGAAAACCTATATCCTAAGCTATCCAAATATTCTAGCAATAGCATAGCTGAGTGAAACGTCCTCCTCTGCCTCCCTCTTAACTATATGGTAATAAGTCAAAGCTTCACTTTCTGTTCCCTCTATGGTGTTCCAATTTGACCTTAAAGAAACTTATAGAAAAGTGCGATTTCAAGTGCAATTAACTAGTGCACCTATGTCGTAGCTTTCAATTGCACCTTTTAGGTATCTATCTTCAATTTATCAGTTTGGAAAATGACAGGACCTCCGAAGGCTCACATTGAGGAAGTCTGCTCCTGCCATACATATAAGTCAAAATGGCTACATGTGTATGCCATATAAATTGATACAGAATTGGCTCGTATATACCAGTATGTTAAGGATATGTATTTATCACTTGATCAGTTAAGAAATGGAGGAAAGTTGAGGTCTAACTGAATGGGTAAAACCTGAAACGGATAGTGAGGAGGCCCCATTTTGAACAATATATACATGCATACATCCTAGCAAGAGTAATTAAACTTAATTGTCTTCATTACAAAAAATAAACTTGTAATCTGACTATAGGCGCTAGTATTCGCCCTACCACCTGCATTAATAAACAATCTTACCTCACACCTCGCCCAGTGCTTGAGTACGTAAACAGAAGATTACCTCAGGTATATGATGTCATTCAGTATTAAGCCCCCAGCATGGCCACCAGTAGATCACGGAGATAGAACAGAGTTTGGACCATAGTGTAACGCTGGCCTTAACATCCGCGCGCTGACCCCTAAAGAAGCATTAGGGTGGGCTAGTTTAGAGGGCACACCCTTTGACACTGTTTTCGTGTCTAATCAATTTTGCTGCATATAAAAGTATCTTCTCTAGTGTTATATCAATCATTTCTCTGTAATTCCCTGATAATTTGAAAAACACTGAAGGGCACGTTTTAACACAGGAGGTTGCCAGCCTAAATGTGAAGAAAAAAAAAAAAAAAAAACGCCCCCACCTCACCTACGTCAATACAAAACTACTTACACTATACACTTTGTCTAAAACTATCTGTTTAGATTTTTACATCATAAATCCAAGATGGCCACCAACAGAAACAAATTTCAGACTGTTGTGTATAGACAGAAAATACATATTTCAGAACGTTCTTGAATACTTATTTTCCAGATAGTTCCAGGACATTTTAAACAAAATTAGATTTTTTTTTTTTTTTTTTTTTTTTTTTGATGGGAACAAAATATAAAAGATTTTTCATTTATTCTTAAATTCGTCTTATGAAAAACGAATGAATTTAAAAAATCACGAAAAACATACATGTAGTACTTAAGTTATTCACCACTGAAATGGATTTCAAGTTGTGGATTTTTGGACAAATAATAACATCCAGACTCTTTGTTTTGCCCAAATTCAGACTTTTTAGTGGCAACCAAAATCCATTTCCTGCCGTCTTTACAAGGATTGCAAGCTTAAAACTTAAAATTATCTACCTAACAGACGATAAACATTTTATATGAACGACAAATAGATCAAAAGAATACACAATTTGATCAAAATATTTGGATTGCAGTCTCCTCTTACTACACTGAATCCATGCTATTATGTTTGCGTACGCTGTCAATTTGGACTCAAGTGGCACAGATTCAAGATGGCCACCAAGGCGATTCGGTTTCGAATTGAAGTGTATGAAGATAAGCCATCAAGCATGCACTCTACAAAATCTACATTTCCTAAATTTCACCAGATCCTCAAACTAGTATGTTTATATGTTTCAAGACCAATTCAACAAACCTTGATAACAAAACCAGACCTTCAGCATGCACTATTATCCATGCGGGCCCATCCATACACAAAATCTTGAACTTACAGTCTTGGGCTGCTATCTTTGATCTACGATATGAAGTCTAAATCATCTTATTGCTGAATTTCGATCCCTGTCATATAGATAAAAGCAATAAGAAGCAACCCCAGGTGCTTAAAAGGCCAAATGATTGACTTCTTAATAACGTAATGTTCCCTTGGTACTCATCATGTTAGACCTAAGCTCCGTGTTTTTTCAGTCTTCCACTGCCTTGTATTTTTAGCAAAATAAACCGCGACCAACTCCTCCACACCCTGTATTATAAGAAAGGCAGGTGTGGGATATTTACTTAACATAACATTGTGTACTGTATTACATAACTATGCTCCTAGTGTTAAGTTTCGATAAATAACCCGTGCATCATGTAGGAAAAAGGTAAGACAAGGTCGAACTAATTCTCAGGCAGCAGTCATTGGCATTTAACCAATCAAAACGGGAAGACTATTGGTCAAATGATTTATTTTTTCCATTCCACTCCTATGACTTTCGTCCAGATAACTCTTAAGAGAGTCATGCGTGTAAGATATTCATGAATGCAAGTTATCAAATTAAACTGGATTCAATTCCACATCGTACGATACAGTATTGATGATTCTAGGACGATTTAAAGCCCGGCCTCAAGCGCATCTCTTCGGGTTAAAAGTTGAGCTGTTTTGAATACAGGGTTGAGGCCGGTCTTCCGTTCTTTGCCTTGTCCAGTCGTAAGTCAGATTTTAGAAAATAACAGATGCCTGCCTGACTGGGTGAAATGAATTTAACTACCCAGACATTTCTAATAGGCTTTAATGAAATCGGACAGAAGGTAATACTGACCAATTGAATACATGTTCCAGTAAACGGACATTAATCCGTTAAAAGATCGAATGTCTTTTTTCTTGTTTCTTCAGTGGTCATTGACCATGTGTATAGAAGAAATTGCATTACTACGAGCAAATAGCGTGAAAAGAAAATACATATCAGTATTTCTAATGTTTTAGTAAAACGTGCCCTCACCGAGATCTTTAGTCTGTAGGGCTTTCAGTAGCGTTTCATCATATACAAAAGTGTGCACAATTAAGAAATAAACGCAAGCGATTTACGATGAATAGAACTGAGTATATATATAGGCGATGGGGATTTTTTTTTTTGGGGGGGGGGGTACACGTACTTTTCTCAAACGTCTAATGGAATATATTTGTACACGGCAGATATTCTAGATTTCTCACTGATTAGAAGAAAACCCAAGGGCTATGATAGTGTAACCGACATATTAACGTTACGGACAGGTGTATCTGGTGCTATATGAAAACAAACTACTGAAGTAATTCCCAGCCAAATTTCTAACCTTTGCTTTCCAGCATTGTGCGCGTTTACTGCATACATTGCTTGAATTGATTTTAAGCAACAAACCCTGGGTATATTCAGGACAACAGGAGACAAGCCAGACTTTTCTGAGCCTTCTTAAAGCTTAATTGGGCTCTTTGGATAAATCGCAACGGCGGGTAACGAGTAATGATTTTATGGTACATGCAAGGACTACATACTGCAGCTCTTATAACAGTCACTATGATGGCTTTCATCACTCGATTTCACAAACTTCAGCTGTGTCTCGCTCGCTGGGATGCAAAAAGTCTAAGCACGTTCGGTCCACCTTTCGCTTGTTGTGTTACTTAATCTCAAATCTAAATTAAACCCACAAAACAATTATAGTCAAGCACATATATAAATAACCGAAATACCACGCCTGATGAATCTATATTTAAGACTCGAGTCTTTTTAAGGTCTTCAACTTTTTTTGTGATTTCCCTTTCTATCCACGAAATGAAATTTCTGAAATCACTGCACATATTAAATCGTATTTAACTGCCATTACATTGGAGAGATATAACGCACCGTGTCCTACCTGTCCAACCCGAGTTCCGCTTTTTAATGGCTGCACCAGGGCGAATGGAGGCTTAAAGCATGCGCGACAAGTTGCTTGTGTTACGTAACTTCACGCTCAGATGGCTGTGAAATCGCGCCATCCACTGAACAACATCTTTCGCATGAACCGATATGCTCCCACTGTACAGCAAATACCATTGAATACAAATCTGGAGTTCTTACAACGCCTTTTCTCGGATTGATCTAGCTGACAGTACACAACCGAGCCACAGTACTACGCGAGCTAACGGGATGAAGTCATCAATATACAATTAGGCTCAATCAGATAATTGAAGTCCGATCTTGGCGGTAACTAAGTAAAAAGCCCACTGGGAAACAGCTCGGTATTCGAGGCAAACTTGCAGAGTCCGTCTGCATCTTGATGGTTTTTAACGACCCAAATTCTCCGGATTGTTCCTGAGCTACAATTCACCGAGCGTTGTTCTACTCTGCTGACTGCCTTATAAATCTTATCCATAAATCAAGACTTATATGAATTCTATTTGGAACAGAGAAACTACGTAATCCTCTAGATTCTTGTTGTTCCTTTTCTTCGTGCGGTAATAATATGTTGTTCTTGTGTATTCTGCTTTAAAGCTGTATTTGTGCTGTCGGGTCTAAGTTGCGCAATGGGAACAAATCTTTCTGATATCATAATATCGCGGAACGGTGATTCTAAGATCAGAACATCGTAATACCTCCTTTTCTGCCAAATTTGAAATGAAGAAGTAAATTGAAGGCTTATTTACAATCAATGTGAATCGATCTCTTGCTTGGCTTTATCAGCAGTTCTTGGCTGGAGGCGAACATGTGTTGCCGAGTTGGATGGGAGGAGCCAACTAGAACTTTTCATTCGGCAAGAATGCAATGAACATTTAAATAGAAAACTTGGACGTAAACAAGAAAAAGTATGCTGAGACATTTATTCATTATTATGAATCCAGGACCCTGAAGCCAAACTAGTTTTTGTTTTGTATTTGATTAAAAAAAGGCAAACGGGATGTATTTCTTTTACTTTTGGCAACTTGAAGCACTTGTAGACAGATTTATTAACCAACCTACGCAAACATTAATTCATAGGCCTCTGGGGCACTACACGTACTGGGTATTAAGTCATAGAGCCTGCCATATCTTATAAAAAAATAGCTCCTCATGCAGGAGATCTCTGCCAAGTCCTGTGCTGTGAAGAGCGAAGGCGTTGAAATATTTCAAAATTCTCTGACAAAAATTTTACCCAAGACAGGGTTATTTTTAACCTGTGCACACGAACAACATATAATCATCGCAGGCTTTTGAGACTGAACGATCCTGTGATATGGCACCTACTAGTACCACTGCACACCCCCACCACCCGCCTTTCATAACAGACACCGTGTACTACTAAAATTTTGAATCAAAAAAAAAGTTGAAAAATGTGCAAACGGATTCCATTCCTCTTTATTGAATCCTCCGTCTATTTCACAATATAATCGAAGTTTCAGCAATGAAGAAATGTTTTTTAACAAAAAGTCAATTTTCAAATAATTCCAACCATGAACTGAACGAGAACACTTACATCATGCCCCCTGTTGATTAGTTACTTCTCAACGTTCTACGAGGTCTTAAAATATACTACTGGCAGCAAGAATGTATATTTGGAAAAGTGAAAAGGGAGCTCCCCCAAACCCTCTCAATGCGCCTACAGGCTCCGTCGATAAGTGCTGCTAATTAACGTTCTCTAAAGTTTGCTATCAAGTAACAAAATGCACAAAAAGAGAGTAGACGCTTTCTATACTTACAACAACCACAGAAGCGATACAGAGGATGGAGTTTCAGTATTTATCGCTTCAAATCGCAAATGTAAACTGGATTTTAGAACCTGACACACGTGAGCTTAATCGCGTTGTATACGTTTAAACACTGAATGCATAAAGTTACCATGTCATAAGCTATATTTTAGAGTCGTAGAATATTATATGCACGATATGTCGACCCTAAACTTATATGATGGACACGAAATACGTCAGAACTAAGGGCTAAGGTTATGGTCAGATAAGTGGCCCGTATTGTACCAGCATCCATATGGCAGTTAAGCTAAAACAGTCTTATTCGGATGTGGATGACAGGGATGCATATTAATCTTTCTAAGCGCTTACAGGGCACGTGCTTTTTTCAAAGAAAATATTTCTAAATAGTTGTAACTGATCACTACAGTAGCTTATATCTGTGCTGTAGACAGGTCAGAAGATTGATGGGTCAAAAGGCGCTTTAAGAACTTGTTAACACGCAAAGGTTCCTTACCCCTTAATTCTATTTAAAAGGGCAGTAAATTTCACAGAGAAATTAAATATGCACATTACTTAAAGTTTTTAACGTTTAAAAATCAAAATAAAGATTATGCTTCAAATGTTATCATAAAAGCTCTGTTTAAATCATTCAACAAAATCTCTATGATAAATCATGTTTAACATGATTTATCAAAGAAATTTAAAAATGACATAGACGTTTATGCACCGAGCAACATTTAAACACAGCCCTTTGAAAAACATATCACGTCTTCAGGGTAGCATTTTGGCAAAGTTACCCTTCATTAAGTTTCGTAGACCTGAACTTTGTATACTCAATTTGCATTCGTTGCTAACAATCTGTCCAATTAACAGTATGTAGGATGCTTTTTTTTTGCTCGCGTGACACAAAAGAAGAGTTTTATAGCCGTGGACACGAACTCGTAAGAGTAGCGCGCAAGATGAATACACCACTCGCTACCAAACACTAAAGGTGAAATATTGCCAACTATTTGAGTTGTTGATTCGCCGCCAAAGTCAAGATATACTGCTAACCAGCAAACGATAGTCCATAAAATTTATCTAAATTTAATAACCGTTCTGGTTAAACATATGGCAATTTTTTTATCAAAATGTGAAGTGCAATTAACAACCTTCCGTCTAAGTAAGTTGTATGATAGTTTTAATTGTCATTGAACATAGATCGAGAGAGTCACAAACTTGAAACAGCCATTCATTAAGCCAAAGTATCCTCTATGTGGCAAAATCCCTCCAAATGGACATTGGGATTTTAGAAGTCCTCTCCTTTCTGAAAGAATTAAACGCTGAATCAGTGTAAGGGTATTCGCAGTTTTTAGCAATTTCTACTTAAACTTACATCAGGTTGATCTTTAAGCTGATCAAAGTCTGTATATAATTGTGATTAACGTTGTGTAAAAAAAGACGAAGCGTGACGAATGTTGCCCCTCATTGTGGTTGGTGAGCCCAATAGCGCTGTGTATGCACGGTCTTAATGGCACGGCTCTTTGTATCATGCCCTTCTATCTTGACTCTAATTATTCAAAACTAGCATAAATTGACTAAAATAACTTTAAAATGTGTTCAGATAATCTATGGTAGCAAAAGCTAATACATTACTTCATAACAACGTTTCAGTCTAAACTTAATACATAAGATAGGGGTTGGTCGTTTATTCCCATCGATTTGACTGAAAAGATATAAAGTAATAAAGCTGGATATCCTTCTTTTAATCTAGAAAAATGTCAATTTTTGTGGGGAACATGGACTATCACAATGCCATGAAAGCTGGCATTTTTTTATTGACAATATTCATTGAATGACCGGTATGACAGGAATGCTAATCTTAGGAATGAAAATCCGGGGTCCCATATGATAAGTACATGTTGGGGTTAGCCGGTGTGACAGGAATGGTAGTCCGCTAGGAGCTTTAGTCCGTTTCCCATTACTTTGCACAGGTGATATTAGTCCCATATACTAACCCCAATTCTCCGACTAACCCTAACCTGTACTCATCATATGGGATCCCGGACTTCCATTCCTAGGACTACCATTCCTCTCACACCGGCTATTCAGAGATGACGAAACTGACCACTTATTGCATTTAAGCCAGCTATCTTCTCCTGCAGCTACATATGTAAAAACCCAAATACTTGACCAGTTCACTGCATGTCTTTGAACTCGTCTGCAAAAGTAATATGGTGGGAATTCTGTCTTTCACCTCGTATGAAAAAGTCACCCATTGTTTGCAAGGGAAGACACACACGAGGAACTCTTTCACACCACAGGCTACCAAGGTTTTTGAAGTAATGATAAACCGAAAAAAATTGAACATCTCACATTACAACGATAAGACCTAAAATACCATCATTCTCAGGTAGATAGTCAAAAGAACTATTACTGTCATCTAATCTACAAGAGAGTTCCACCGGCTATGCTTCATAGTTAAATCTAGATCTTCAATAGAGTGGTAATATTTCTTCTTCTGTTAACAAGAATACCTGGGGCATCTAAAATATGCCATTCTCATTTGCAGAAAACTCTTTTGAATATGCGACCCCGTTTAAATGGAATCAGTTACAATCAGAACTAAGGAATAAAAGCTCAGCAGATGATTTTTTCAAAAAAAGCTCTGAAGACTTATCTTTTAAAAAGTTTTATGATTTGCCATTTTATACTTTACAGAACACTATAATTAAACATTTTTCTATTTACTTTAAATATTATTAATTTTTAATCTAAAATAATCCATTTAACTTTTTATTTTATTTGTAAGGTCTACAGAACATATTCATTATTATTAAAACACTGGCGAAGTACAACAAAGACCTGATCTTTTTTTTTATATATAAAATACGTTTTCTTCAGTTTTAAGTTTTGTGTGAATATTAAGTAACACTGGGAATTGCCGCTTTAAGACAGTAGGCCTACTCAATAAGCAAATGATACAAGCACTTTGTCCAGTTACTCAAATGAAAATTTAATGTTAAAAAATAAGAAAAGCACAGATTCTTGAAAGCGTAAAAGAAAGAAGATACCTAGGGAAGAAACTGATCGTTAAGTACAATAAATCAATACTACCACCATCCTCGACAATCTTTCATTCTTTCAACCTGACAAAAATAACCTTAACAATGTGATGCTTTTACACTGATCGCGTGAAAAGAGATGATATGGTGAACGGAAACTGAATATCAATACAGAATAACGAGGTTATTTTAAATCGAACAATGCGTGACGGACAATAGAGCGTGCATCGTAAAGGTTCCCTGGTCCGTTCACACATATCAAAAATTTGTAGATATCTATTCCCTGGACGGGACTGCTCCAAATAGCCTGGTTAAGAATTATTTGTATGTCAACAGATAAGTGATAATATGGTTAACCGGTATATTCGAAAAAACCTAAAAATGTGAAAGCTGATAAATGTGCCTCTCTTTTCCGCAATCTACATTCCCTTTACTCAATGTTTCCTCTTGGTGCGCCAGTGCTTCGACACATCATACATCATAAGATGGGCCAAGGGCAGCGGCAACGCTGTGTGCGGCTTGAGAGTAGCAGTATAAAAGGATAATTAAAATCCACGACGACGGTCTTGTTGTGGCTAGTCCGGAAACAACGCTAAGAAAGCAATAGCTGGAACCAGGAGTACAGCAACATACACCCGCTGATCATCTCAGCACGTGACTTCTACCGTATAGATATGCAGAAACATGCAGCCATATCGAATAGTTTTCAATAATAATCATATCTCATTTAGCCACTAGTAGACCTACGCTTTTTTTTCTTTATATCTTAATCTGTAACGTCTTGTTTATATTCCACGAAACTGAAAATTTATATAGATATTAAGGAGTATGAATGATCTTATTTTCGCTCGCCATTACTTAAGAAACTGGATAAGACTTTACTGAAAAAAAAAAAACTACGGCATCAAAATAGCTAAAATAATCTACATATTCTACCACGTCTACTATATAGTCGTCAGTACCCGGCACCTTTTGACGAAGTCATTCAGCCTTAACGTATGGCAAATCAGAACTTGAATGACCATGTAAACCAGTGATGGAACACACCTTTGAGTTGATGTACGTTTGAAAGCACTGCTGCATATGAGGATATTCTTATAAATTGAAAACGACTCTCTGTGGCTTTGTAACAGCAATCACTTTTCATAAAATGAATACTGACACGCAAATTGCTAGGGCGTAAATTACATCAGAGCAAAATATTTCAATAAAACGCTATTATAGAAGCACTTTTAAGTGCATTAGTAACATGCAACTAAATATATGAAGTATAGTATAGTATCTCTTGAAGCGCAATGTTTCAGTTTCAACAAGTAACAACAATCAAGGAGCAGATGAAAAGCTAGATAAGTCACTTGTCCGCATAGCTCAGGTATTGACATTCACGGACAGAATCATCGATCCAAAATACAGATAAACCGTAACATGATCTACAGGCAAAAGAACACCTTACAGCAAGTCCACCTACTTACCTGGGTATGTTCATCCATTGAGAAATTACCTGACAAAGCGCAATGAACCTAATCCTATACGACAGTAGTTATATTATCTTGATATCATGGTTATTATATAAACCCTGTGGTTAGAGCAATTTTCTGCCTGATTGCAGAGATTTGAGATATTAGTAACGTAGCTAGAAGGCAGGCAAAGCTAATGCATTCTAGGTATACGTTTGTAGCTGCAGTAGTTTAATGCGGCCATACATGTCTTTCGACTAGATTGAATTCTGGCATCTGCCGCCAACGGGACATTCGGACTACATATATTCTATACAGACAATACCACATGCATGCAACCTTCAGCTAAACTGTGTGCACGTCTTTACATTATTATGAATAGTCTCATGGTGTCTCATTCACATCTGATCACACTAGAAAGCGTATTGCGGGGTTGGGGTGCGTTAGGGATAGATCATGGTTGGAGTGGGTTTGGGATAGATCATCATCAGTGATGTGTATGTGCCCCCCTTAAGGTAGATGGTACTAAGGTATGATATTGGTTTATAAAGATACAGATACATATACCTATGTCAAAGATAGTTTGTTTATACTAGTAGTTTTCCAGATGTTACCCAGATACATACCTGCAGGAGAGATTGTCGAGGCACTAGCTACAGTCTGTACGAAAGAAATAAACCTTTACAACTTCTTAAATCGGTCTTGCTAGCATATTGCGCCATCAATTCCATCTGTCATTTTTCTACTTGACTCACGGCCACCCAAAACCTATGTTAAACTTGAAATTTCTTTCCTTCCGCGCGGCTATTGCATTATTTAATCCGCCCTGATAGTTCATCTATAGTAGACTTTGTGTGACAT